ATATTTAATGAGCTTGTTGTATAATATTAATATGTCAAATATATAATTATGTAATATTATATAAAAAATGATATATCTTTCAGATATTCTGTGTCAAAGGGTTAAAACGTGAGTTATATTTGTTACGTAGAAACGAATAAAAAAACGATTTGTACATACTCGTTCATCTAGTGATCATTTTGTTTTTTCTTTTTTTTTTTTTTTATTAGACTAGGCAAAGCATCAGTGATCTAATTGTAAGTAACAAGATCTGTATAATCGTGTTGTGTAAGAAATAAAAAAAACAGCCTATTGGATAATATAATTATAAAGTAGCAAGCTCCAGTTGTAGACAACATATTCAATGAGTTACAAGAGTACTCGTACCAATACCGTCTATTTAAAATAATTTTCTTGTAATGCAATGTTTTTCACATTCTTATATAAAAAAAACTTCATGTATACTTAATCCTATTTTGATCGCTTTTTAAAAAAAATATACATTTTAATATAGAATGATATTTTAGTCAATTGGGGATAATGAACAAAATATTTTCTTTTGTTTAGAAATCAATAATATATATTTTATGCTTTTTTTGCAAATTGCAAAATATTTCCAAATTACAGGACGCGGTCATTTGATCTCATGTGGTAGCTCTTTAATTTATTACTTATTAATTTATTATTATTAATATTATTAAAAATTGACATAAGTTTTATTGTTAAAAAGTATTTTCTTTTAAGAGAAATATAATTTTAAATAAAAGATAAGAAAATAGGTCTCACAAGAGTATGCTCAATTGTCTAAAAAATATTATAAAATTCAAAGAAGGACTAACCTAAGTATCATTTACAAAAAGAATTAGAATAGATTTAGAGAAGAGCCACAAGGGCTGAACCCCCAGGGGTCTCCAAAATTTATCTATTTTTAACCCTCCACAAATTTGATATTTTCTTGGGGATTTCTTTCTTTCAAATCGTTATGAACATATTATATAAAATAATAACTAAACCAAAATAATCATTATTTCAAATGAAATCAAACAATTAAGGGGACTTCCACACTTTAATTCCGGCCCTGAAAAGCGTTGATTGTATTTTTTATTAGATATTATGTATGTATGAATAATCTTGTGAGACCAATTTTGTTATCATTTAAATAAAAAATTATATTTTTCTGTAATTTTAAGTATAAAATATTCTTCTGCAATAAAATTTATATCAATTTGGAAGTTTAGTAATCCTAAAATAAGTTTATACTTATAAGAATTATGAAGTTTTGTATTACGTGCAAATATTGATTATTTAAAATTGATAGTTATATAGGACGAGTACGAATACTTCTACGACTAACTGTAAATCTAAAAACATGTTTAAATAGAAAAAAGTTTAATAATTAATATTTATTCGTGACCTATATCAATTTTGATTAATACCATTGTCATCAATAATATCCCACATCGGTTATCTAAATTCCTCGCAGGATCGATCGTTAATTCGTTATCTCTATTTCCT